CTGTTGCTTCAGATTTCCAGAATCTTCCAGGTTTTTCGTGTCTGTTGCTTCAGATTTCCAGTACTTTCCAGCCTCCCTGTATTTTCTGATTCACGTTTCCAGCATCTTCCAGGTTTACTGTTTGTTTATCTTATTTCAGATTTCCACCATTTGACACTGCTTTTTTTTGACTCTGCATTGGTGTCTTCTTTCCAGAATCCCAGTATCTTGAAGTTTTGTATCATTTGATTTAGATTCCCAGCCAGTTGCAGTATTTTTTTGTTCGATGTGTGCTTGTCTTTAATTTCAGATTTGCAGCATTTTGCATTTTTTTTCTCTCTGTTGCAGTTTGCTCTGGGCTACGAGCCAACAGCAGATCGGACAGTTTGTATGAAGGAAGGGGGGGGGTGCGTGCACAGAGGGTCTGGCATGGCGCCAGTAAGGGAGGGTTTGTGTGTTTGGGCACGTTATTAATCAGTCCAGCTCAGTACAGTGTGCATTCCCTGGAGGGAATTACAGAAACCTTCGCAACATAATCTGCATGGTAATGTCAAAATGATGCGAAGCAGATGTACAAGAGCTGTTGGGCTTGTGGGGTGGGAGGTGAGATGGAAAAAAAAACATTGACTTGCAATTTTCAGGTTTGGCATGTTTTATTTTCTCCTCTTAAAGGCACAATATCGCCCTGCTTCCCCCATCTGTTCTAATAGATTTTGCAACTGAGTTGCAGTTTCCATTGATAATTCAGAAATGCTGCAAATTATTACCAGTGCATTATCAAATCGCTCTGAAGCATCTCTTAAGCTTTTGTTGTGGTCACTTACGTGAAATACAGCAATTGAGATGCGAGGCATAGAAGCCAGTCATTTTGCCACAGCACAAACGTTACCATGAGGAATGAAATGAATAGCCAGTTAGATGTGTTTTTATTGGAACTGGTTCAGGATGGATGTGATCCAAAAAACTCTGCTCTTCCAGCATGTTTTAACATCTGCTTGAGCCAGATTGAACCTCAGTTTGTAAACTGAGCAACAATAACATGCAACTATGTACCACATTTAAAATAGAAAAATACCCCTGGGTACTTTTTGGAGGCGTAGTCAAGCTTTTGTAAATGTAGAGAAATGGAAGAAAATTAGCAGGCATGACAATGATCGTGGAGATGGGATTTAAGGCAGATTTCTAAGTGTCAGCCGTGGTTTACTGGATGGTACTCATGATTGTGGATTAGAGATCATAGGTTTGATTCCACCCTAGGGACACAAACATAAAAAAATGTAGCTGAATATTCCAACCTGTTCGGGAGTGCTGCACTGACAGGAATACTGTCTTTTGATGTGATGTGAAAATTAAGGCCCTCTCTTCTGACTCCTTACTTTGAGATTTTGTCTGGGATCAACGGGTGTAATCTCTGAGTAAGAAGTCTCCCACTTTAAAACAGAGATGAAAAGGACTTTTTTTTTCTCTGAGAGAGTGTGAATCTGGAAATCTTCACTGGAGAGAACTGCCAAGGATGGTCAATAAGTATATACAAGGTTGAGATAGATTTGTAATCAGTAAGGGAATCAAGAGGTATTTGGAAAAGGCAGGAAAGTGGAACTGAGCCTGACCTCATTGAATGGCAGAGTAGCCTTGCTGAGCCAAATGGCCCGGTTCTGCTCCTGTCTCTTATGATCTTCCCTCTCAGGCAGAAGTAAAAGACCCCACACACAAAACAGGAGGATAGTTTCTCCCCAGGGTATTGGACAATACATGTCCTCAAACAACAGTGCGATAAACATTAACATTACCAGGTTATTATCGTTTTGCTTTTTGTGGGATCTTGTGTACAAAATACTTGCTGTGTCTCCTACATTACAACTGCAACAGATTTCAAAAACAAAGTGCCTGCGATGTTCTGAAGTCATGAAAGGTGCAATATAAATGCTGTATGTACTGCAACATCAGCCATTCCCAGCTTTTGATTGACATAGTTTACTGCAACTAACCTCTCTCCTAGACTAGGTCTAAGGGACGGCTTGATATACAGCAGCAAAGAAAACCATGATTCAGTCTAAAAAAGAAAGGGTTCTTGCAATAAACTGCATCTTGTTTAAAACACAATAGCAATCAGATACAAGTAACATTAGTAAGTTAGATATTGTTAGGGGGAGGTGTTGGGTTTGTGGTATTACAGTCATACAGCACAGAAACAGACCCTTCAGTCAACTCGCCAATTCCAACCAAGTTTCCCAAACTAAATTAGTCCCAATTTCCTGCATTTGGCCCATGTCATTCTAAACCTTTTCTATTCATGTACCTGTCCAAATGTCTTTTAAATGTTGTAACTGTACCTGCATCTACCACTTTGTCTGGCCGTTCATTCCATTTACGAACCATCCTCTGTTGCCCCTTGGGTCCCTTTTAAATTTTTCTCCTGTCACCTTAAAAATATTTCCCTTTGTCTTGAACTCCCCTATCCTAGGGATACAACCTTTGCTACTCACTTTATCTGTACCTCTCATGACTTTATAATGTTCTTTCTAGCAAGCCATTAGTTGTATCAACTGCTAAAAAGGATGAACATCCTCAGGCTGTGTGGGCCATCGACAGCAGCAGAATCGTACTGCAGTACAATCTGCAACCTCATGGCCTGGCATATCCCCCCCTCAACCATTACCATCATGCCAGGGAATCAACCCTAGTTCAATGAAGACTGCAGGAGAGTATGACAGGTCCCATCAGGCTTATCTAAAAAACGAAGGTGGTGTCAACCCGGTGAAGCTATAAAACAGGATTACCTGAGTGTCAAACAGCATAAGCAGCAAGTGATCGATAGCGCTGAGCAATCGCACAACCACCAAATCAGATCTAAACTCCGCAGTTGAGGTCAGGAAGCGTATATGCTCAAGAGTCAGGATTCGTGATTGTGAATGATCTCTATTCACTTATAGTATTCTCTATTGTCTGACACCCTTTGTGTTGTAATGTTGTTTGTAGTATCTTTTTCATAGAATTGTAGAGTCATACAGGATAGAAACAGATCTTTTGGTCCAAGCAGTCCATGCCAATCATGTTCCTAAACTAAAATAGTGCTACTTGCCTGCGTTTGGTCCATATCCCTCTAAAACGTTTTCATCTCACCTTAAAAATATGCCTCTTAGTTTTTCTTTTACAACATCACCCAGGGCCTTGTTTGTTTTACCAAAATGCAGTATCTCACATTTCATCTTGAGAGCTGTTCCACCTGCATTATGAGTTTCATCGCCAAATGCTGTAACTTCTTGCTAGTTCCTACGATGTAAATACTGCTGAAAGGAGAACAAAGTTAAAGTTTCTTCTTGCACTTGTCAGGAATAGAGGGCAAGAAACAGAAAGAGATAAAATAGAAACTGAATTCTGAGGAAGGGTCATTCGACCCGAAATGTTAACTCTGATTTCTCTCCACAGATGCTGCCAGACCTGCTGAGCTTTTCCAGCAATTTCTGTTTTTGTTTCAGATTTCCAGCGTCTGCAGTTCTTTTGGTTTTTATTTAAACAGAAAGGTACTATATTTGTACAGAATGAGAAGAGGTTGTTGATTCACAGGGTCATCACTGGCATGGAGACACAGTAAGAACATTTACCTGTCAGTCTTAGTTCTCAGATGAGGCTGGCAGGTTCTCATTGGTCAAGGGGTTGCCATGGGAATGCAGCAGAGATGGGCGATCTCCATGACCCTTTGTTTTGCTCTCTCATTCCCACCCTCCCTTCCTTTACATGGGAATGACATAGCCAACCACTGATGCCCTTTAGTGGAGGTAATATGATCCTTATCTGGTGGTGCCTTCATGTGACCCTAGGCACACACACCAATATGGTTAACTCCAAACTTCACTCTGGGCAATAAATGCTGGCCTAGCCAGTGACACCCATATCCCATGCATGGGATATAAAACTAGCTCTAATAGTGGAACCAATAGACTCAAGTGCTCTGTGTAAAGAGGTTTCTCCTGCTGTCAACCCTAAATGTTTTAGCTTTAAAGCATTTTTGAAGAAGCGTCATTGAACCTGAAACATTAACTCTGCTTTCTCTCCACAGACTTGCGGAGCTTTTCCAGCAATTTCTGATTTTGTTCCGAAATGTCTTACATCTCTTCCAAAATGCCTTCAAACATTGCATACTCTCTCGATTATTAATCTAGGCATTTTTTTAAAAAAAAGTCTTTTAAGGGAGAAGAGCAGAGGAGATTGAGAGGGAACGTGATTGAAATGTATAAAATTTTAAGGGAGAAAAATAGGATAGTCAAGATAAAAACTTTTGTTCTTTGTGGAGGAATCAATGACCGGGGGCATAGATTTAAGATACGGAGAAGAAGGAGAAGCTTCTTTCACCAGAGGATGGTGGGAATCTGGAACTCACTGCCTGTAAGGATGGTTGGGGCAGAAAGCCTCATTGCATTGAAGAAGTGTTTTGATGTGCACTTGTGACGGCAAGACATACAGGGCTATGGGCTGATTGCGGGAAAATGCGACCTCAGTAGTTAGGTGGCTCATTTTGACTGGTGTTGGTTCTGATCAGCATGGATGCAATGGGCCGTAGATTTTTGTTGTAGATTTCTATGAATCTGTGTGGGTGTTGCTGGCTAACCTGCATTTATTGCCCTTCCCTAATTGCCTGTGAGAAGGTGCTGGTGAGCTGCTTTCTCAAACTCTGCAGTCCACATTGCTTAGTATATATTTATTTTTATATTAATTCAACAAATAAATAAGCTCATCAGCTTGGAAGGCTATTTCTTAAAATTATTCCAAGTTCTTTGCAAGCAAGCTGGACCTCATAACAGCAATAAAAGAGATGTTTTTGCTCAGATTAAATTTGGAATGTATCTGGATGCTTATAAATGTATATATAACAAATACATCTGTCAGAAAATAGGATAAAAAGAATGCTTTAAACGTTTACAACATAAATACATGTAAAATATATAGATTCAGTAGTAGAGATAACAAGGTGTAGAGCTGGATGAACACAGCAGGCCAAGCAACATCAGAGGAGCAGGAAGGCTGATGGTTCTGGCCTGGGCCCTTCTTCAGAAATGGGGGAGGGGAACGGGGTTCTGAAACAAATAGGGAGAGGGGGGAGGCGGATAGAAGATGGATAGAGGAGAAGATAGGTGGAGAGGAGACAGACAGGTCAAAAAGGCGGGGATGGAGCCAGTAAAGGTGAGTGTAGGTGGGGAGTTAGGGAGGGGATAGGTCAGTCCAGGGAGGACGGACAGGTCAAGGGGGCGGGATGAGGTTAGTAGGTAGGAGATGGGGGTGGGGCTTGAGGTGGGAGGAAGGACTGGTTAGGGAGGCGGTGATGAGCTGGGCTGGTTTTGGGATGCGGTAGGGGGAGGGGAAATTTTGAAGCTTGTAAAGTCCACATTGATATCATTGGGCTGCAGGGTTTCCAAGCGAAATATGAGGTGCTGTTCCTGCAACCTTCAGGTAGCATTGTTGTGGCACTGCAGGAGGCCCAGGATGGACATGTCGTCTGAGGAATGGGAGGGGGAGTTGAAATGGTTCGCGACTGGGAGGTGCAGTTGTTTAGTGTGAACCGAGCGTAGGTGTTCTGCAAAGCGGTCCCCAACCCTCCGCTTGGTTTCCCCGATGTAAACTATGAGGGAAGCTTTACAATATATTAATTGACATGAAACTTTAAAGATGCTTAGAATAGATAATTTGAAATTAGAAAACATCTAAATATTTGTGGCAAATCCATCTGTCACAACACATGGCAACAAACCTGAGAAAGTGACAACACTGGACCTTCTTAAAATTGTTCGTGAGTTATAGTACATGTTCCAGGAAACAGATACACATTAGATGTTCTGCCTGAGAGCAACATTTGTATCAAATCCAGATTAGAGGAGTTGCAGTATTGTTTGTGCAAACATAGTTGACACAATCCTACCAACGTTAGGGAAATATTTTACATGAAATCGATGCTTATACAGGTGCTTGTACAGAAGATAGATTAGGATAACCAAGTTTTTTTTTACAAATTAGCTTTAACCTGCACAGTAGAATTGTGAGTATCCATGCAAAACTGTAAGTCTGGAATTGGGAACCATCCTAGTTCTGGACACAGTGAAATTGTTGATGAAGCAAAGATGTCATTATTTACAGATTTTAATCAAAATCAAACAATCAAACATTACTGGGACAACAAGGTGCAGGGCTGGATGAACACAGCAGGCCAAGCAGCATCATAGGAGCAGAGAGGCTGACGTTTCGGGCCTCGACCCTTCATCAGAAAAGGGGGAGGGGAAGGGGGTTTTGAAATAAATAGGGAGAGAGTGGGAGGCGGATAGAAGATGGATAGAGGAGAGGATAGGTGGAGAGGAAACAAACAGGTCGAAGAGGCGGGGATGGGGCCAGGAAAGGTGAGTGTAGGTAGGGAGTTAGGAAGGGGATAGGTCAGTCCAGGGAGGACGGACAGGTCAAGGGGGCGGGATGAGGTTGGTCGGTAGGAGATGGAGGTGCGGCTTGAGGTGGGAGGAGGGGATAGGTGGGAGGAAGAACAGGTTAGGGAGGCAGGGACGAGTTGGACTGGTTTTGGGATGCGGT